GTCGTCGATGTCCAAGTCAATGCTACACAAAGGACGATTATCACCGAGTGATCAGTTTACTCTGTGCGTGTCACGGGGTGGCTGCGTTCCAACGGCGCAGGCTCCGAGTCCAGTCCACCGCCAGTGCCCATTTGCTGCCGTTTAAACCGCGAATGGTCCTTTTTGGCCGTCCTTTTCATATCTCTCCAGAGCTGTGTCGCTCTGTTTCTCGTCCCATTTTTCTTCGGACCTTGCATTACAGGCTGTACCTATCAATGTTCTTCCAAGACCGCTTTCGTTCTTCATTACTCCTTCCATCGTGTCGTTTATTTTCGATGACTTTTACTTCAGTCTTCATGACATCGGCTAACAAATACCTGTCTCTGCTGCTGAAATTTCTGCTCCTCTTCTTCCTGTCCAGGGTTGTTGACCAGCCACTCGTATTGCTTCCATTGAGCTGGTCCTCGCCCCACTGACACGTAACACGAAGTGCGACGACCGGGGCCCGACACTGGCCGGCTGGCTCGACGATCATATTTCGGAGGCGATAAGAATCCCATCTCACTATCTCGAAGATTGCGAAATAGCAGCTGGTGGCAAGGAGATAGGTGCGATGGAACTTAACGCCTCCGTATTTGAAAATTTGAGTCCTACATCTTAAATTCTGTCAACTCAAATATTGCTCTCATTACTCATGTATGACTTGTCGAAAACATCTGGACACTTGCAGTGAAGAAATACGTTATTTGTAACCCCTCAACAGGCACTCAACAGGTACAGAGGCTAGTTTTACCAACAGCAAAATAGCCGCCTGCCGGAATTTTTTGTCTAAAGACCGTTTCACATAGGGAGCGTAAACACGACAAGCACGTAAGCGAATAGGGCTTTACCACTCTCGATCCGTATGTGAAGCGGCCTTTAGGCGAAAAATTCCGGCAGGCGGCTATTTTTCTGTTGGTAAAACTGGCCTCAATACTATGAAAAGGTGACCTCAAATTCGTCTAATCATAGCAGCCGAACGGCTAGGCCGAACTGGCTGAAAAAGCCAGAACTAGATGATTGCACTATTGTCTAGCACTTCAACATAAAATTTGCACAAAAAAAAACTTTCAAAACCACCTAAGGACCAAAAAAGGCACCACCGAAAAGATACCCGCGAACTTAATACATGGGGTGGCTCGCGTGTAAGTTCGTTCGCTAACTTAGCGAACAAACTATTTACCCGCAGATGGAAGTCTCCGGGCAAAGTTACCCACCGACTTAAACGCGAGATAAACGCCAACTTACCCGCAAACCACTTACACGCGACTTACCCGCGTGTGGAAGTCTCCAGCCTTAGACAAGTTGTTATAGTCAGGTGGGAAAGGCCAATATGCAAGTACACTTTGTGCAGATACCTAAAGCTTGTTGCTACACCTGAATAGGTGAATAGTCTAAATGTCTGTTATCACTGCTTCTGTCATTCTTACACCACAGTTTTGTTGTCCAAAGTACTTCCCGGTTTACGGCTGAACTGCTCCTCCCTGTGTCATGTGTCATGCGCATTGTCAGTGTATGTGTCATAGTCGGCCTACATTGGCGTTACGTAGCACCAGCTGGCAGAATACTGGTGACACCATAAAGTATACACAGGTCACAGGTGGCTGGCCGTTATACATGACCTCATACACGGGAATGCGAGGAATCGTTACACTGTGTGTGCGGTTAGACTGTTGGTCTGCCCATCTTTATTCACTCTGTGAGTCAGCGATCATGGATGTTCATTGTTCGCTGCTGGACTAAATGTCTCGCCGTCTAGCAACTATAGCTATACGGACCGGAGCACTTAATTCTACATTATGCACATATCACAGGAGTTCCCAGGGTTGTATTGCAACCAATAGACCCAGTACCTACATATACAACACCTGGAAAGCGGGTGGGATTTAAAAGTAAAATGTATTCGGTGTTCACTGTGCCTGAAACATTTCTCTTCATCAAATATCACACATAGCCACCACCAATAGCATTAGGTATTAAGCGTGTCACCTTTTATTGCAACTACCCAGGCAAGTTTGCCAACTTTTGACTTCTCGAACACCTGACACCTGCGGCATATATATCTCCCAGACATACCCCTCGCTAGTTTCGACTCATCAAAAGCTCAGACAGCTAACCACGCGCTGTGGACATCTGTGTGACACCGAAGTGAAATCCCTCATCGTGTCAGCCAGCTCTTAAGAAGCACTCCGTCACCCCCAATCATGTCTGTTCAGTGCGGGAAGTCCAATGGCTGATGGCTGTGACCGGTCGGTTCGGAGGCCGCCTACCTCACGGCTTCGTCCATACGAGGCCATGCGGTACGCTGCAAATCTGGTGACTTTACCCGGCGACCCAGACAATCCCTAATTGCACCGCCTGCACCCACCAGGTTCGTCTGTATGCACGGTAAAAATGACACTATCGTCTGGATCGCGTCGGTACTGTCTGGTGAAGTCGTGCCGATTTCCAGGGTTGGCTGTTCTGTGCAGTGTTACACGCGTCGTTAGGAGCTGCTGCCTTGGGAAAGGCTCCGTGGTCCGTGGTATGCTGTCTGTCGTGGCTGACGATAAAGTTGTCACCGCTTGATCAGACATCGACCGAGCTGCTGATAAGCCCCGACTGTGGTCCCAATCAAAGACGAGAGAGCTGCCTCCAAAAGCTGTTCCTACTCATGCGGTGCTACTGCTACCTAAGCATATCCCTTGGTACATATAACATCTCGCAGACATATTGTGAGTTCGTGATGTGGGCTATGTTATGGATATCACAACAGTTTAATTTCTTTAATTATCCTGAAATGCCACACTGCTGTAGAGGATCAGATCAGGCATGAGGTAAATGCAGGCACGGAACTATAGATGTTGCGCTTCTTCGTTGATTGAATGGCTTGAAACGTTTTTTAGCGTAGATTTGTTTTTGGCCTACTTTAGTTATGAGAAAAAAGGCTATTATTAACTCGGAACTCGTATTGCAATTAACTTCATTGAAACTTATTGACTTCATTGAAGAAAGTTATATTCTTCATTGTTGATTATTTTGCTTTTATTTTGTCCTGAATGAGATAAACATTAAACAATGCCAATGGAAACGACAAGAAAGATAAAATATGCATGACACTTTTTTTTTTGTTCAGACTTGCCATGGGAAATTGCATCATTAGGCATACAGACAGCCTGAACATTGTATTAAACGAGTTAAAAGATCGCCCAGTAGATACACGTTCCATAAGTACATGCACTATGTATCTACGAGTACGGATGGAATATGGAGCATGGAGTAACCATTATAGGCATAGAAAGCATGAATCATGTGTTAGATAAAGCAAGCATTTTTCTTCCACAACGAAATGATTGTAGACAAAAAAAAATGTGTTGATAAAGTTTGAGGTCTTCATTTACTTACGTTTTAACTTCGGGAAGTTAATTAGATCTCTATTATCGATCGGTCGTGCTGACTGTGGTTGACGTAGGCATGTCCTTATTGTTCTAAATTACTAGATTTCACCTCGCGATAGGTCAGGTGGAGGTTGAATGAACCGGTTGCTGCAAGGAGTATTTTTCTTGTTTTGTGTGGATGCAGTGCACACAAATCGCGGTACACAAATAACAGATTACAAGCTATTTGGAGATATTCGAGGTGTTGAGCCGGCTCCTGACACCATGTAAGCCGGAATAAGGGACGCTAACCCACCGTTTTTTTATCACGATCACGTCGATCCCATATCGGTTCATGGAATGCTGGAGACAGTGGCATTCTCATAACAGGCAGCAGGCTGATGAAAGCTCAGGACGGGACGTAAAATTGACAATAGCCTTAAATGCTCTGTATAGGTAGCTTTTACATCTTAATGTCACTGTTAAATAGCGGTGAACGTGCATAAAAGAAGTACTATCTTGTACAAATTTGAACGATTTATTTATAAAGTGGTGTGCTTTGCCAGGCCTAATTTATGATGTTTGCGGGTGTTTTAAATGACTCGTGCAAACAAATAAAAGTTGATTTATATCACATTGACCGAGAGTGGGAGCATAGGCGGTTAACCCGAGTCGAGGTCCCGAAAATGATCGCATGGGTCACACGTTTTATCCATGAAATTTACCATCCGAAACCGGTCAATCTTACCAATCGCTCAAAGCTTCAAAGTATTCGTTCAGTGCATTGGTGCATGGGTTGGGTTAACATCATCATATGTTCTGAAGTGAGATTACGTGGTCAGGCGACCTGAGTAAACCCGAAGCTGACATTTTTGCTGATAGGTACAGAAAAGATATAGAAAGGCGCTGAATAGATATCATTTAATTTAATAGTTTTTTATATTCGGAGACTTTTAGGGGGTGGAAATACCTATGTCCTCGCCACGTCACGAGCACGGACCCTGTGAACCCGCACGAACTGCGCAATATGCACTGCACGTGCTGCGTGCCTGCGGTTCGGTGTAGCGTAAATAGACGGCTTTTCCACTAAGTACGCAGTTCGCTTTATGTGCAAACTTTTGTTAGCGTCGAATGGCTCCATTTGTGCTTGTTACTGCTCAATGCTCATGCGAAGTTGATGCCATTCACCCTCAATCTAAATATAGAAATTCTTCCTTTCATTGCGTATACATTTTTATGTTACTCGAAGAAGGCCTTCGCCGCTCTCCATTTTAAGCAATGGTTTTAGGACTCACTGAGGAGTGTCAAAACTAGTCTAGACCTTGTGGAATTCCAGAGCATTTTGTTTTCTTAATAGTGTGGCCTGAGAGACTAAGTTGCAGCTTATTGCACGCACTTTTGTGAAGTCTGCCATTGAAATTTGAGTATAGAACCGGTCAGAATGTATCAGGATTTCAGGTGTGCCTTGCTTCGAACAATATAATTAATCTGAGCTATCCGTCCGGCCCCGGTGAAAGTAAAATTCGTGTTTTTCACTTCACATCGTTTCCATCCGTTGCTTTCTCTCGGCTTCCTTTCTTTCGCTCGTCGCTTATAATCCCCGCTCTGCGGAGGTCAAAGTCGGTCTTCATCATATAACGCATTATATTTATAGTGTGCAAGATAACGTGTCAATCGCAGTACCATTCACGACAGGTAGGGTTACAAAATAGTCAGCCTGGCCACTGGGGCGCTGCAGACAGTCGACATCGCGATCCAGTCGCTGGCAGTGCCTCTCCAAACCAGTCGGAGCACCGTCCCCAATCCCCACCTCGGCCCGCCCTCCGCCAGCGCTCACAACGCCATCTACAGGGGGCGCCACCGCGGCCGGCGCCCGGTAAAGCTCACAGTCGCTCACCCGTGCAGTAGTTCTCACCCGTTATTCCGAAAGTCTCGCCGATATCGGCGACAAACAGCACAGCACAACACGACGTGACCTGTAGGAGACCAGCTCTAGCTAACGCGTTCTATACACAACACCGGCCCTAGACCGAGCGACTATCTCTGTCTGTACAGCAGCGGGCACCGGGCCCGACACAACACAGCGCGAGACTCAACCAATAGGGGCAGTGGACGATCACAGACTCAGCTAGCTAACCCGCTCTGACCTTACCATCCGGGGACTCTGCCCACGTCCCCCTCCCCTCTCCTCTCCGTCTGCAATCGTTGGCCCATCGACAGACACCGCAGAGTGCAAAGAAACACATCAACATTCACACAGGAGATCTATCGGCAAACTGCCTGTCCGCCCCGACCGCTGCGCTATGGCTTCGTTATGGAGCTGGGCAGATATGGCCAGACGCTCAGACGGCGCCCGGGTACCCCGCCGGCCTCTACAGGGCGTGCAGGGAGGTGGCCAGGGGCCCGGGAGCGCCCGGCTTCAGACCGCCGCCCTGCCTACCGGCGGCGTCTCGGCTGCACTCGCCATAAAACTGATCAACAATCTCCTCGATACTCTTGTTCTTCCAGCCGTAGGTGCGCCACTGCTCCTGGTCGGGGATGCACCACAGCAGCAGGGTGCGCATGTTGCACTTGAGCTGCTCCTGACGACTGACGCCGGCGTCTGTGCACGGCATCTCTGAACAGAAGAGCAGCGCTCGCTCCAGCACCTCGCCGATGCCGCACTCGGGGTAGCCGAGCCGCTGCAGACCCTCTGCGCCGATCAGGTTCGTCAGGATGAACGTCACCTTGCTGGTGAAGGCGTCGGTGATGGGCTGCGGCGGCGGGTGCGGCTGGTGGTGCGGCGGGTGGTGCGGCTGGTGGTGCGGGTGGTGCGCCTCCAGCGGTGTCAGCTGCGGCGGCGCGCGCGTCAGACTCGCCGACACCGGCGGGGGACTGCGCTCCGGGGTGCTGACTCGGGAGACGGGCGGCGAGCCGGGAGCCGGCGGCGAGTCGCGGCTCTCGGTGGATGAGCCCGACGGCAGGCCGGTGCTGCCGTGCCGGACTCGGGGTGCCGGCGCCGGCGGCGCGGGCGCCGGGTACCCGCCGGCCGCCGGCACCCAGCAGTAGCGCAGCGGGTGCGGCGCCACCACGCCGGGCGCGGCCTGCGGCGCGGCCCCGCGGTACGCCGCCGCCGGCGCCGTGCTGTAGGCGTACCAGTGCGGCAGCGTGGCCAGCGGACGGAGACCGCTCGCCGCGCTCGACACCGCCGCCAGGTAGGACGGACCGAGCGCGAACGCTGCGCCGGCCGCGGCGGCGGCGGTGGCCGGCCGCTTGGCCGGGGGCGTGTCCACAGGGTCCGGTGGGGACGCCGAGCGGCGCACCGCCTCCTGGGAGACCAGCGAGGGCCGCGACAGCTGCTTGCCGGCGTTGTTGTGCTCGGTGAGGTGCTGCTCCAGCGCCTTCCGTTGCGGAAACGTGGCGCTGCAGATGGTACACTTGTACATCCGCTGGCCGTAGTGCGAGTTCTTGTGCGTCTTCAGGACGTGGTTGTAGCCGAAACTCTTGCCGCAGATGTTGCAGGTGTAGGGTTTTTCACCGGTGTGGGTGCGCCGGTGCACCTTGAGCTGTTTGCTGCAGGTGAAGGCCTTGCCACACGTCTGACAGCCGTAGGGTTTCTCTCCTGTGTGAGCGCGCATGTGGATGACGAGCTGGCCAGACTGCACGAACGCCTTGCTGCAAACGGTGCACTTGTGCGGCCGCTCGCCCGTGTGGATGCGCAGGTGACGATTCAGCTTTCCGGAGTGCTCGAACGCCCGTCCGCACACCTCACACTTGTAGGGTCGCTCCTTGGTGTGAATGCGCCGGTGCACGTTCAGGTTCTCCTTCACGGAGAACGTCTTGCCGCAGTACTCGCAGCGGAAGGGCTTCTCTCCGGTGTGGATGCGCTGGTGCCGCAGCAGGCGCGCCGGGATCGGGAACTCCTTGCCGCAAACGCCGCAGGTGAGCGGCGGCTCGCGGTTGGCCAGCTCGGGTGGCACGGGCTCCTCGTCACTGGCATCCAGCGAGTCGTCGTCCCAGTCTCCGGGCGCCGGCGAGGCGAGCTGCGGCGAGCCGGCCTCGGCCGGAGGCTCCAGCCGGCGCATGTGAGCCAGCACGTCGGTCGGTGCCGCCACGGAGGTCGGGTACAGCGAGTACCGGAAGTCGGCCGGGGTCGGGGTCACCGCCGCCGCCACCGGCGAGACGGGCGAGCGCGGTGACGGCGGCGACGGCGGCGTGACGCGTCCCTCGCCCTCGGAGCCGGCAGACAGGTCGGTGGCCTGGGTCAGCTCCGAGTCGCTGCCGTCCACACTGGGCTGGCGCCGACATCGGCCGTACAGCCGCTTCTTGGGCAGCGGGGCACTCATCTGCGGACAGAGGGACAGAGCCGTGAGTGGGGCGGGACGAGCGACCAGCGGCGTCAGGTGGCGAGTTCAATGCACCGGGCTTAAACATGAGATCGTATTAATTTTATATGGCAATTACGCGGACAACCAGGTAGTTACTTTGCACGGGGAACAGCGAGGATCGCATATTTCCCAGTGCTATTTTTAACCCGCTCTGGAAAGATTGGTGCGGTGCAAGTCATGGCAACTGAGTGGCCCAGAGGTGACCGTGCAGGAACTAGAGGCGTGGGCCGCTTTTCATGGCCACACCAGCCTCCTCCGCTAAATATATTCGTTCCTTTTAGAACGCGTCATGCTTCGAGCATTTTGTATAAACAACTGCACTGTTTCCTCTAATGCTGTGTTAGTAGAAAATCTCGACACATTTGAACCTCCTGACCCCTGAAACTGATCAGATATGCCCAATGTGCATTTAACAGGAAAACCCAAATGTCTCCTGGCATCCGACAAGCACACTTCTCTGTATGCAACTAATTCCTTTCATTTATCAAATACTGAACGCACGCCTCGAGTCTCAAATTACTCTCGACTCACGCCTCAACCACCATGGAAATAATTGCGGCTTGCTGACATGCATTATGCAAGTAATGTCAATCGTCATGCACATCACGCTTTCTATCTGGATCCAGAAAAAAAAGATCATTGATCGTTTCCACCAAACGAAGTTTTTATTTACACACCCCTAGCGCCGTTTTATATTGTACGCGCTCCCGTTGCCCTCCCGCGCTGCGTACCCTGAATGCGCCCTTGTCTCATCAGACGGCGTCGGCAGCGGCGGCGTTGACCTCGCTAAATGCGCCCGTCACTGACGGCCATGACGGCGGCGGTCTCCACCCCTCTGCCGGTCGCCCTCACCCCTCTGCCCGCCGTCACCCCTCTGCCGGTCGCCCTCACCCCTCTGCCCGCCGCTCGGCTGCTAAAAACGGGCACGGCATCGCCGCCGCCGCGGCAGCGTCCGGCCGCTCAAAGATAGCTGCAAAGTTAGGCGACCCAAGGGCAAACAGGACGCTGGAACTCGGAGAGATACACCAGGCCAGTCCTGGGCCCAGGTCAGGGATTGTGACGTCACTAACCACTGCTGACGTGTCATGTTGACTACAGGACCGATAAGACACCATAAATCCCATTCTGTCGCAGTGAGACCGTGCTCGACTTTGCACGCCCCGTTTCTCAAGACCTGGGGTGGATAGTCGGGGTGTAAACACAAGGGGCCCACGGCATCGTTGGCCGCGCCCGGGCCATTATGACGTCACAGCGCGGTAGACGATTTATAACGTCTGCGGCCGGCCTAACTGCACGGCGCACGGAGCCCCGGGTCGGTGGATCGACCGACCTCCGACCAGCTTTGTACCACCTTCAGATGGGCCCCAGGACGCGGCTTTTGCAACGCTGCACGCCATCAACAATTGTAATGGCCCACAGAGCGTCATGGATATAGTCGGCAATGTTCGGGTGACGTTAACGCTCATTTGGGCAACAGTTATTTGTTGTGCCATGAATGAGTGGCTGGGTCCGATGGGCCATTGTGTGAAGACGGTGCCTGGTGTACTACACGGGTGTAGTAGACAGGCAAAATGGCTCCTCTACCGTGTCTGAAAACGGTTGGCGAGGACATTTTAGCTCTGTTCAGAGAGACTGCAAGACAATGGTGCAGGAATGTCAGCCGCATTCTGAGGCACTCCAGCGCGCGGCGCAGGGCAGTCGCAGCCGACACCAGCTGCCAACTCATGGCGGTCGGCTATTTTAGCACGACTCGGCGCGACTGAGGACTCGACTGCAGGGCCCACGCAGCCGGCAGCCGGCCAGGCGGTAACGGCTCCCCTGGCAGGCCCCGGACAAAGCCGTCGCCTGCTCCGCCGCCCACCGCACAACACGGCGACAGTGACGGTGATAGGGGGGTCACTGGGTGCAGGAACTGCGGAGGGTGGCGGGAAGTCCCTCACTGATAGGCCGCCTATCTCTCTTCCACTCGAGCACTAAGCAAATTGATCCATTGCTTTATCTCCCATGACGCCCCGCCCATCTGTTTTAGTTTGTTTGCCCTGACAACCACTGTTTCTCTGACCAGTCTTCAACTGCTACTGGGGCCCGTTCCCCACAGTTTTTTTTTCTTTTCTATTCCTTATCGCTTTTTTGTTCGGCTCCTTTCCGCCCCCTCCCCGTTCCTCAGGTTCTGTCCTCCCCTCCGCGGCTCCGCCCAGCCACCGCCGCCATTCGCTCGCCGCGGCCACCACTGCGTCCCTCCTCTCTCGTCTCCCGTTTCCCTCCCCAGAGCCCGTATGTATCTTGGCCTCACTGCTATCGACCGCGGAGCCGTCGTAGCCTGTTTTTGTGCCGGGGCGGAGCCGGCGCAGCGCCGCGCCGCGATTGGTCGCCGCTGCGCCACTATGGCCGCCGCGCGCCACCGCCGCCGGCCGGCGTCGAGCGGCGACGGCTGAAGGAAAATAACGGCACGCATGCTTCATTGGCGCTGCGGACGGCGCAGTGGCGGCGACAGGGATTCAGACGAAGTCGGGGTAGGGTCAGTAGAGCTTCAGGCCCTGACTAGGGCCGTGTCAGTTGAGGCCGAGGTGGAGTTAAAACTGACAGATTTAGGCCAGGAGTTAAGTCGGGAGTTAAGCCGGGAGTTAGGCCAGGAGTTAGACCGGAATCAGAGCGGGAGCGGAGTCCGACAGCGCTCGTCGGAGCAGTCAGACATTTTCCGATCGATCCTACGCTGCTGCGCACCGCCAGTCAACGTTTATAACCCCTTCCAGCCACTTAATGCTAAGCACGGTCCCATGAGGGCACCAGACAGATGCAAATTAGATTATTTCTCGCCGGCCGCTGGGAGGGCTATCTTCGGCAGACGACCACCCGATGACCTGCCGTTTACCGACCGAAATACCTACTGGCTCTGACTGTTGGCGGTGACGCAACTCGTCTGCATGCTACCGATGTGGAACACACGCGAGCGGACGGTATCAAGGACGCTCCAAAATGTTCACAGGAGTGGCAGTAGCTTCGCGTTCTGCGGCCTTGCCTGACCAGTATGCGGACTTTCTTTTGTTGTCACAGACTAGCGTGCTAACCAATGTTCCATATTTACAGCCGACACGGATTCATGTACTGACGCTCAGTCACAAAACCGTAACCGAATGCCTTCCTTGTGAACTCAGCGCTCAAGTCTCCCGTCTTATACGAGCTACCCTGGGAATACATGCATGAGGTTACACAACGCGAGGGCTCCCAGTTTCGCCTGACACTGGTGCGCATCATTCAGCTCCAGGTATCGGTATCTGCTCGGTCGAAGCAGTGCTGAGCCATTCCGTGATTTATACTTATGCGTTATAAGCTACGCCGCACACCTGGTGAAGCGCCCCTCGCTGTGACGTTGTCGGTTACATGACGGCTGTAACACCAGCTGGTCGTAAAAAGATAGGCGTGGAATCGCCTTTACGCCTGGATAGGGGCCATACAGCCGTTCGACTAGGGCAACCTTTGCAACCAGACACTACCAACAGCCGAGGCTACCTTATAGTTCGCAGAATGGCCCTGATCGTAATGTTTCTCAATGGCCAGTGGTCATGGTCGACCACTGATGGGTTCGATGAAAGAGGCCCACTTCTCAGTGCGGCCGCGGGCCGTCAGTGGTCTCGGAACTCCACCACGGGAGCGCACAGCGTGCCAGGCTGGCCGTGTGAGGGGTGGGTGGTGCACCTCACCGCGCCGCGGTGCGCACTGCGCAGTCGTGACCGATCCTGCGCAGTGCGGGCCGCATCGCGAACGGCGCCATGCGTCATGTTTGCATGACGAGGGCGGCGTACGAACATGCGCTCCGATCAGAGTGGCGTGCAGGAGCAACTCCATCGCACCACGGAATGTCTCTGATTGCACATCAACATTCTCTTCAAAGACGTCATGGTATTCTGGATACGAATCGAGCGTTCCAGTTCGACTCCATATTCATTCCAGGACGGCTCCACATCGAGGTCTTTAGGTGCGCAGAAGCACCGGCTATGTTGCGGTTTGTCGGCCCCGTGCCGTGAGGTCATGGCGTTCCCGTCTGCCAATGCACGGTTGGGGCCGGTGTGATATCACCATCACCCTACACCAGTCGCGGCGCCTTGTATACAGACAAACGCGACGGGCACGACACGGACCGCCTCTTGAGGGGCATTAATTTTCCTGTTGGGCCAGGAAGGTAACAGAGAACGAACGGCGGCTGTCCGCATGCCAAACTCGCTAAGGTTCGTAGAAGCCCTGATGTCATGCGGCGCTGCGGCTGCATGACTTTGGGGTAGGTTGGTTTATTTATTGGTATACCGCACCACTCCCAGCCGTCTGCGGCCTGCACCGGGAATTCAGCTGCTGCCGCCGGGAAAGGGTGGTTCTCTGTATCGCTGGGGAGTGGGGAAGAGGCTCATGGTGGAGCCTCACGGTACCGGAGCGGTCATCCGTGACGGGCATCTCGCAAAGTCGTGACCGACCCAGCGGGAACTTCTGGACATGACACCATATCCGTGAGCTGGTCGTGATTGAGTCTTCTTGAGGAGCCCGACAGTGTAGCTTAGAGAATCGGTGGAGCGCCATGAAAGCAACACACGACACGAGTGCAACACAAGTTCAGTTTGAGCATCAAATGCCTTAATAGTTAATACACCGTGATCGTTCGAGTGTCATACAAATATCGCACAGTACCGAATGAGTACCGCATGAGAAACATACGCAAGCAACGCACAAGCATCATACAAACACTACGCGAGTAGGTACCGTACTACGAGTACTGCACCACCGCGACCGGACATCTGGGTCGCCGCTCCGGTGTCTGGCCCCATGTCCCGGGGGTCTGACGGAGCCGCCGCCGCCGCCGCTCGGCCTGCAGCCGACTGTCTTTGTGTTGCAAACAGTCTGCACTGGTCTGCACGGCGCGTCCGTGCACGGGTCATCAGCCGATGACCCCGTGAAGATGTCTGCATGACGTCGTGAGCCGAAACATGTTCGCTGAACCAGATAAGCCCGGGGTTTAAACAGGTTTATAACGCTCGTGTAGCAGACCCCGTGGTGCTGAGGCTGCCGTAAAAGCTGTCTCGAATGACCATGAGCGGAAACATAATGTTGATGGATTAGACACGTTTTGATGCCGAGATATGGCCCATGTTAAGAGTTATTTACTTTGTTATGGCTTAGTTTTACTACCATGAGAGTTAACTATATTAGATTAACATATTATGTGTGACAAAAATATATACTGAACACATTGGCGCGAAAAAGAATGTAGTTCAACGGATTGTTTTTATTTATTTGCAGGTAGCGCAACGAAAAGGAAAAGTGTACGAACAGCGTCACGACTCAGCCCACTCCCATTTCTATTTATGTATCATAGCGTGACCAAGATCAGATTTTGGCGCCACGGCCGCCACAGCATGCTTACACTTATGGTAGTGCCATGAAGCAGTGTTCAGAGACTTAGCCCCATACATGGAAGCCTCTTGCTTTGTTTCAGCCTTGTGGTTTGATTTTTCTTCACTAATACCTATTTTTAGACGTATCGTAAAATATGGTTTTACAGACTGAAATCACAAGCCAATGAAAATATGCACTGTATTATCTTTTTTTTTTGTAAGATGAGAAAGGTATTAGCAAGCCTAAAACAGAGGAACACAAATTACCTAACTAAATTGACAAAACAAGTTTGTGATTTGATTTCTTGTTGAAGGTTCCGACTTTGTTGTAGCTTTGTTCCTCCAAAACAAGCATAAGCTCTCACATCAGCCGTTTTTACGACGGACTATCTGGCGAATCCACCTTACTTGACCAAACCTGCAGCAAATCACTTACAACAGATAACTTCATATCGTGAAGTTGTTTCAGTGTTTTAAATTTTAATCGAAAATAATGTCTGAAAATTTGAACAATAGGGTCTATAAGCATCTGTGCAACCCAAACCGAAAACGTTTAAGATACCTAATTTGACCAAATCTCCATCAAATCTGCACCTAATCTGCACCAACTGATGGCAGTCGTAAAAAACTGCTATTTTTTTACTCTTCCCTGTTTTCTTTTTACCCAATCCCAGCCACGTCCTGTTCTCAGTTAGGCCGTTCCCGGCGCGGCCTCCAAAAGCGGTGCGCCGTGTGCGTGAGACGTGCAGCGGCGCACCCACCGCGCCACTCGGGGTCAGCCGGTCCGCCATTTTCGCCGCCGACCGCCGTCCGCGTTCCGCGCCGTCGGGCGGGGGCGGCGGCGGCGGCGGCAGACGGGATCCATGACCTATTTCGCTATCTCTTCCGACCAACGCTCTCTCCAAGGATTCCATGCAACAGCACTACACCAAGAACCGCCAACCACCCTTCAGCGAGGTGATACACACCCAAAAACCCAGACAAAGAAACACACTCATGGCGTCCGTCCATGACCCACCGCACACATCCATGGATGGCGAAAATCCATAATCCAATACCGGTTTTTCGCTCACCTCAGCCGCGTTGATAAGCGTTAGTCCTCCCGTGATTGCTGCTTGGCTGGCCGTGGAGCGGCCTCGCTGATCCACTCAGTCTCCTTTCACCACTCCGTCACTGCTCGACTAGAGCGCACTGCTGTGGGGCGGCCGGCGAGCCGCGCGCTGCACCGTCCGTCCGCCAGCGCCACCTCTCTGCAACTGACTCTGCAACATGGGCCTGCCGAGCCGATGTGGCGCCCCACGTGCCGCGCCGGCCGCCGACTCCGCCTCCCCCCCTCGGCGGCGGGGGCGGGGGGGGGGTGTCTGGCTGGGCTGGACGGTGTCATCACCCGCAGAGGGAGGGAGAGTCGGAGACGGAGCGATAGGATAGAGCGGCGGGCTCATGAGAATGCGGTAATGCCGCGGACGGGTTAGATGGACACTCACACCGATAGTGCTAAGCTAATGCAGCACACGGAAAAATAGAACGACGATCAAAACGACGTTTCATATGACAATGTCGATCATGGCTGTTATGCCATTGCTAATGATGAATAATTGTATTCGGTTATATTGTTTTTATGCTAGGTATGATTTTTTAGCCAAGTGCGGCATAAAACCAGATATGTTACGAGGGTATGCGGGAATAGTGAATGTTGACCGGAAGTAGTTAGGAAGGAATCAGGAAAACCGACTGCACGCCAAGTGGGGTAGGAGAGGAGGGGCAACTCAGTCGCGCAGCGCACCACTCCACTCTCCAAGGTCGGGTACTTATCGTCAATTAATGTCAGCGACATTGGACCAACTGCAATGGGGAGGGGCCAGATGGCTAGGAAAAGGTCGATTTTAGAAATGGTTGTGACTTGTGACGTAGTTATGACTAGCCATGCTGATGCGGCTGGCTAGATCGCATGGGGCAGCGGTCTATAAAGGCTAGGTCGCATGGGGCAGCGATCTGGCCCAAAGGCTAGATTGCACGGGGCAGCGGTCAGTGGCCTAAAGGCAAACTGCAATGCGGAGGGGCTAGATGGCCATTGCCACACCATGTCACTATCAAACCAAGGCCAAACCATACGACATGCACGGTGGCCACATGGCAAATTCTTACCATCTCGCTCCCCTCCTATGATGATTCATCGGAAGCACACACAGCGAAAACACACATCGCTTTCAGGTGCCATGTGGCCAAACTGGAGTGCGGAGGGGCTAGATGGTTAATGCTAAACATCTCGCCACAGTTTATATATAGAGACACAGCACAACATGAGGCATAGTGACTGTGAAAGGTGACATGAAAGAGAGCCTGCGCCCGACGATGCTCGTCTACCACTGCAATACCAACAGTGTAAAGAAACAGTTGCCGCTTCTGCGGTCCCTCGCTCCTCGGCTCGAGAAATATGATGTCTTTGGATTATCGGAGACATGGCTCACCGACAAAGTGGCGGACTCGGAGCTACAGGCAGCGTTCCCCGACCACACGTGGTTCCGCCGCGACCGTGGAAGCCGCGGCGGCGGCGTGGCGTGTGCCGTGCGCAACACACTGTTACCCGATCGGCTGAGGGATCCTGCGAATATTGAGGTATTAATGATTTACCTGAAGAAGTTTTCGATAACCGTGGCGGTATGCTATCGACCGCCAAAGAACGACGAGGCTTTGGCAGAAATAATGAAAGCCTTCAGTAATGTATCCGGCCCTCTAGTAATAGTGGGTGATTTTAACCTACCAGAAATAGATTGGAAAAACACCGGAAGTGCCATAACCCCGACATTGCTTAGAGGACAGACAAGAAGAGCAAAGGTTTTCCTAAACTACTGTAGCGAAATGGGTTTAAAACAATGGGTCTACGAGCCAACGAGAAAAGAAAATACATTAGACCTTGTCTTGACAAGATTCCTTCATTGTATCGTTTATGTTGGTAAAAGTAATTTCAAGACGGATCATAAAGAGACCATAGCTGACATTTATGTTTGAGAGCTGGATGCTTTAAGACGATTCGCATAAACAAGTGATCAGCATACACCCGTGAATTTGTTGCCGACAAACCAGGCGAATGTCGCCGCCTGATGTGCAAGCCCGTCGCGCCGCTGAGGCCGAGCCAAGCCGCCTCCCCCCCCCCCCCTCCCCGGTCGCCCCCGGGCGCGGCCGAGCCGGGCGGGTCGCCGCCCGCCAGCGGTCACCTGTCGCCGCGCATGGTTTTTCTAGGGCTGAAGAAATGGGCCGTATCGACGCTGCGAACGGTGGACAGAATGTGACCCTGCGACCCGGCTGACCTGTGACCTGTTCCGAATGGGGCCGGCGGGGCCCTATAGGCCTGGGAACTGGGAAGGTGTGTGAGGGGACGCGGCGTGCCTGTCGCCTTTTTTATGTGCTGTGTCGTGACCCCTGTATCTCGTGACATTTTTGGCCGACGTATTTAAACCGATCCAAAATTCCGCTCGCTCTGAATTCACCCTCAGACGCGGACGGCGGTACTCCGCTTCCGCTTGCGTCTAACTTCTTTCGAACCTACTGTATCTGCGCTGTATTGCTGCCATCTCGCAGTCTTCAGTCAATAATAAACTCTTCTATGAAGAGGATTGTGTTTAAGTGGTGGTGGTATGAATGAAACCGAAGTGGCGCGAGTGGAGAAAAGGAGAGCGACGGCGCAGTTCACAGTTTTCATGGTGGCCCATGTCTCCTGACTTTGGTATTCCTATCGATCCTCGGTCACCCTCTAACATCCACGCCGCGAGGTGTGCTCCAGCCCTTTGTCTCAGTGTGAATTCTATTTATCTCTCACTCTCCCTCCTTCCTTCCTATGCTTGTGATTTCCTTAGTAACCAAGTACATCAAAACACTTCAAAACACTTCAAAAAACATCTGGGTACTTTGGGACTCTGGGTAATTCCAGAAGGCATTTTCGTGGCAGAAAATGCCATCGTGTCGTTTGGGCCTAAGGAAAGACGGACAATGTTTTTCTTGCTAATGATGTTTGACGTGCTTTTTTAATGAAGCCATAACCTAAATCACCTGTGCATACCAAAGTGTGCAAAACGCTGATATTATCGCCATTGATACAACGCGCCAGTCAAGCATCGTGGTCTCCAAGTCGGAATGGGACATATCTACGAACGAAATGGCTGCGGAGATCCCCAATTTTAAGTGAGCCCGCAGATGCTATCGACATTATCTTTCAAAAGCGATGTAAGCAAATGGATCTTTGCACCATGGTGTCTTGAGATGCGTCTTTTAAGTTTAACTGCTCTTCGCCTCTTACGATTACCAAGACGTTAGACTATGCAAAGCCCAAAGTGCATTTTGCTGAGTCATCCATAGAAGTTCGTCATGGGTAGCTTCGCAACATATGTCAACGTAAGCAAGATTAGGAGAAGGATGCTCGACTATGAAGATTATATGCATGCACTGTTATCGAAGTCTTGTGCCTTTGCGGGAAATAAAACGCGGAAAATAATTGGAAGAGAATGCTGGTCAAGGGAGAAGGCATCCATATTCCATATTCGTTGAATCTCCAAAGCACGAAACGTGCAGGATCTTCCTGTTATTGTTCAAACGATAACACTCATAGTTCTAATCAATGAAGTCTGTATTGACCACCTTTAGGCTTTATTCTATATTGTATTTCACCTTGACAATGATCCAAGCGCAGCTATCATGAACCATCTGATTCTGCTCTCAGCAACACAAAAGCATATCCATTCGGTTTTTCGTGTTTCGATATTTCACTTGTCAAAATCCTATAGGTATTGTAAAATAAACATGACAAAGATGTGTTAGGGCATTGATTAACCCAACCACGGAGGAGGGAATGGTGAATTGGTGTCCCTTCCTTGCTTCAAAACGAGTTGTGAGACTTATTCTCCGCAGAATTTTGACTTTTGTCGACCTTATGACTGTTTCTCTAGAATGACGCTCTATTGTGTGCGAACATTTCTTGTTATCACAGCACAGGCCCCAGACGTTCCACTGAAGTTAGTCGCATGTTTTGCTGGGTAAATATAACAGGCAAATGTGAGTCAGTCTTCCAGGTGTCACCATTCCTTCCGGGTGTGTTCACGTGAACGCCCTCCTCCCCCCCCCCCCCCCCCCAGATCTGTCGTGTCGACCCACACCCCGGCAGTGACAATGGCATAGACAAAAACAGTCCCGCCTCATTGAATATAATATCGCCTGTGGTTGTTGTGCTGTGTTTTATATAAATAATGCTTTCACTCGGAAGGTTTTGAGTGGAATTTCCGTGGGACCAGCACCTAGTGCAGTGTGGATTGTGGAACCTGGTGTTGAACCCAAATATTTTCATAATGATAAACAGGGAAGTCTGGTGAATGACAATACTTGCATGCTGTCGTATTAGAATAAATAAGCACAATTCAGTTCCGTCATGACCAGGCAGTCATGTTACAATTTATTCATGACATCTTGCACTAGATATGTCCTCGCTCAATCGGCCGATATGCTGGAGTCGATACACGTCTGTTCTCATCGGGCTGTGTGAAGCTGATTAAAACCGTTGACTTCTCAAAACTGAGCAGGAATAAATGTTCTTAAGCTACAAATAACATACTTCCAAGCATATAGCCCATCATATCTTCCGAACAGGACAACAATAGATCAGCCTCAAAAGTCGTACGTAGCTACAACTGTGCAATGTACATTGAACAACATGTTGTTCAACACTTTTGTTGGATCTGATTGTATCTGTTTCTTCCCAGTCAGACGTTATTTTTCCTCCGCTCGTGTTAAGCTCCCTTCTCGGCAGAGTGCGGCTAAAAATGCCGCTCCCCAGTAACCATATCAACAGGCTGGTGTGGCACAAAATAACTACTTCATTGGAACTTCCGAGCCGCTCTAGGACTTACAGCGGCTGACATAGTTCCAGCAGTTGTTTCATGGCACGTTGCAGCTGCCTCAGTTCAAGGAAGGCTTCAGCATGCTGACTGGCTGGCTTCGTTGGCAACTTCCTGGCTGTTTTTGATGGTGAGCTTGAATTGTTCAGGCCTAAAAATCGACTAATTACCGCAAGTTTTACTGAACAACTGGAATTGCTTAGTGGCTGACGTCAAATCAACTGCCTAACGGGTACATTTGTAAAGGCTCTCAGGCGCATTCTGCGAAGCTAAAGAGGCAGGAAGGAGTTTAATCTAATCACAGCACTTACTTTCACATTGCATGATCATGAGAAGCTGGGGTGTGTGGATTTAGGCACACAGCACATGTCACTAT